TATATATATATATATATATATATATATATATATATTTTATTTTTTTTATTTTTTTTTTTTTTTTTGTTAAAATAAATAAATACAATAATTGTGTTTTGTTATTTTTTATTTATTTTATTTTATTAATTTAAAAATTAGTATGACAAATGACATAAATGACAAATGGATGACTTTTGCAGTGACAGGCCTAATGTGGCACCAAAGATTTAAATTAATTGTTTAAAAGTAATTAATTAAAAATAAAATATTTTAATAATAAATAAGAATAATTATAATAAACAGTAACTAAATGTTTTCTTTCCATGTATTTTTTTATTTTTTTAATTTAGTATTTTACATTTGCATTTTATTATAGTAAGAGTGAGACAATTTTTGGCTTGTTACCAAATATATCTTCTTTTTTTTTTTTGAAAATTTTGTATAGTACTAAAGTAAATGGCAAAATTGGTGAGACGATAATAAACAGCATTTTGTTATAGTAAAAGTGATATAATTTCTGACTTTTTACTGCATGTTGTTTTTTAAATTAATTAATTAAAAATGAAAAATGTTAATAATAAATAAGAATAATTATAATAAACAATAACAAACTTTTTTTAATAAAAAAAATTGTATTTTAAATTAGCATTTTATTATAGTATAATTGAGAATTTTTGGCCTGTTACCAAATGTGGCTCTTTTTTTTTATATATATATATATAAATTGAAAGTTATTGGTTATTAATCATTATTCTTTTTTATTACTAAAAATGTAGTATAGTACTAAAGTAAATGACATAAATGTATGGACGGCGATAAACAATATTTTATTATAGACAATATTTGACTTTTTACCATATCTTGGCTTTAAAAAAAATATTTTAATAATAAAAATAACAAACAATGACAAAAAATAACTTATTTAAATTGGTTAGTTTAAATTTAGCACATTACTCAATTAAATGACATAAATGGATGATGTTGCATTAATAAAATGTCGCAGTCACATCAATTTCAACATGTGGGTCTAGATCTGGATTTCTGTACATCCAGTTTTGTACATCAATTGATCATGTAGTTTGTTTGCAGTGACAGACTGAACATTGCACTTCCATTTGTGACTCTTCTGAATTGTAGAGATGGTTTTATTAAAGTGGATGTGAGATCAGCGGTGTTCAGGAGGATGTGTTGGGAAAGTGCTGAACTCGCGCCGCCAGCGTGACCTGTATTCATTCACTGAGCCCAACATCAATCTGCCATCTGTGTTATTCGTGGCGTTTGGCGTTCGCAGCTCCTTCTGACCGAACCGCTGCTAGTTAGGCCAAATATGCGCTTTACAGCAGCGTCTGCTGCTCCGCTCATGCAGAATTAGGGCTTACGCTGACGTCAGGATGGAGAGTTATGTTTGAAAGAGGCTTAATGTGTTATATGCTCTGGATTTGGTTAAAAATATCAGCCAATGCACAAATACACAACAGGATTCATTTAGTCACATGCTG